CAACCAGACCAGTAAGCAACATCATGATAAACAGAAAAGATTGAAGTTGTCAAGGATCTCATTTTACGTGCATCCACAATCAACGCCTATGGAAGCAGCAGTCGAGAAATCATAGAACGTATTGCATTGGGCTAATCTGCTGCAGAAGACCCTTTAAAGCGTTAAAAAGCAAAGATGTCACCGTGAGGACTAAGGTGTGCCTGACACAAGCCATGGTATTTTCAGTCGCCTCATATGCATGTGAAAGCTGGACAATGAATAAGGAAGACTGGAAAAGAATCAATAGCTTTGAATTATAGCGCTGGCGAAGAAAATTGAATTTACCGTGGACTGCCAGAAGAACGAATAAATCTGTCTTGGAAGAAGTACAGCCAGAATGCTCGTTAGAAGCAAGGATGGCAAAACTTCATCTTATGTATTTTGGACATGTTATCAGGAGGGACCAGTCCCTGAAGAAGGTCATCACGCTTGGTAGAGTGGAGAGTCAATGAAGAAGAAGACCCTCAAGGAGATAGATTGACACAGTGGCTGCAACAGTGGGCTCAAGCATAGCAACAATTGTGAGGATGGTGCAGGACAGGGCAATGTTTGGTTCTGTTGTACAGAAGGTCGCTATGAGTCAGAACCAACTTGACAGCACCTAACAACAGCATCGTGTTAATATCTTTTTTAGCTATGCTAGTCATTGAAACCTGTAACAGAATAAACTAAACTTTGAACCAGTTCTTCAAGTAGTTGTATCACACAGTATGAAACCAGGATTTAAAAAAGATTACAAAGAAAAGTGATCAATGATACATAGCATATTATTATGTCATTCTTTAAAAAAAATTTGGTCTGTTTTAATTGTTATTAATGAATAGTTTTAAATTTTTGGAGACCACTGCTCTAAGCAAAAGAGAGAAGTGAAGCTCTGGATGATTAAGTAACCTGTCCCTGGATACAGAGCTCATCAATGGCAGGGCCAGAGTTTAGTCATAGTTCCTGTAAGTGTGACTAACCTAACAGCAGCCACCTGGCTGTAAAACAATAGAGAGCTAGGGAAGAATTTTGAGGGAAGGCAGAGTAAGAGAGCAAATGTGACAAAAGTGAAGTGTTGTGTGTGTGAGAGACAATATTAATCAGTATAACTTAAAACAAATGATTTATTGTGTCTTAGAAATCAGAATCTTAAAATCTAACCAGGAGGTTTCCAAGTGCTCACGACCTCTGTCCCCCATGTACTCATACACCATATTCCCTTCTCAGTTATGGCCTGAATTTTCCACATCCAATCATTGCTGGGCACTCCTTTGTTTAACTGAAGCATTTGTCAGTCCTCCCAGTCCTTTCCTATAATCTCAAGACTTCAAGGAAATTTAAAGATCATTTCTCCTCAGAAATCAAGGTTGGTGGTCATTCATTAGATCTTTTAGAGATAACAGTGAGGGTAGAGTTTACCTGCATGATTCAGAGATTCAGACAAGGCATGTATCTTGTGAGGTACAAATGACGTAAGATCCCAGTAAACAGCAAATATTTCCTTTAACTGAAGGCATCTTGGTTTACAGGACACTAGTTCAGCAATTCTCAAACTTTAATGTGCGTCAGAATCCCTCGGAGGGTTTTTAAAGTAGAGATTGCTGACCCTAGAGGGTCTGTTTCAGTTGGTCTGGATTAGGGCCCAACACTGCCTTTCTAACATGTTCTCGGGTGATGCTGATGCTGCTGGTCCAGGTGCTGCACTGAGAACCACTGCTGTAGCTTAAGTAGAATAAACATACTTGGTGTTTGTGTGTTTGCTTTGCTATGAACGTGTTTCTCTTCTAGATTCCAGTACTCCTTTTATCCTCTTGCCCCATAAAAACATTAAGATTGACTTCTCTAAGAAGGTTTCCGAAGCAGTCCTATCACAACTTCTGTATACACCCTCCAGTCTTATGTATTAATTATATATAGTTGACATATGGCAGTCCCCACTTCACACAGTTCTCACGTACATGAATTACAGTTACCATGGTGTATTAATTGTGAGAAATTGCATGAAGTACAAACTTCACTTCTGGCTCGTAAGTCCACAGATCACTAGTTAAATAACAGATGTACAAGAATCCTGATCAAAAAGGAGAAAATGCAGAACATAATTTCAAATTCTCACAGAATCCAGACTTGATGGAGCCATGGAGCCTGGGTGAACCCCCAAAACTATTGCCTTGAGACAATCTTTAATCCTTAAACCAAAAGTGTCCTCTGAGTTTAGCTTAACTAGTAAAGAATGTCTGCCTTGAGCATTGTTCTCTTTGAAGAACTATCTATATGGGATGAAATTGACCAGAGCTACTCAAAAGGTTAGATAGGAAACTTAGGGGACAGTGTTCATGGGAGAGGAACAGTTCGGAAAAGGAGGGTGAGAATGGTTACATAATTTGGAGAATGTAATCATTGTCACTGAATTATATACGTAGATATTGTTGAATTGGTGTCTGTTCTGTGTATATTCTCAACAACAAAACAAATAGAATATAAAAAAGTAAAATAACAGATGCACATCCTGATCAGTGACCAATCCCTTCTTTTCTTTCAAAGTCTCTCAGTGATTGATCACTGCACATCTCATTTAGTTCATGCACAGAAAGCAGAGCCTGTACTGTTGCTTTCTTGTCTCCCAGTGATAAACCCAGACGATATTTTATAAAAATGCATAGTCAAAAGAAGGAACTGACCGAAAGAGGCTAAAACACAGCAAAGTAACAAGAAGTGATACTGCTGGAAGTGAAATTCAGATTGAACAAATGGAGTTCTTGAATAGATGGCCGACAGTGGGAATATTGACACCGCTGCTGTTTGAGAGACTAGGCATGCAGCCAGGCGAAGGTGAACTTACGGACGTAAATGGGGGAAGCAGGTGTGACAGGACGGGCGATGGCCCACAGAAATGACATGGGCGTAAGATGGTCCACTAAAGGAACTGTCAGAGGTGTTGCACAACATTGAAAGCACAAAGGTTACAACGTTGGAAGCTGTTGCTAACCTAGTCATAGAAAATGGGCTTTTTTTTGCTTCACAAGTTATACAGGAAGAGGAAAGTGGCAAGCACTATTCAAATTACTGGTTTTTTACAAAGAAACGAAATACTTTAATTCTTAATGGTTCTAGTGTTTTATAGTGGACTGTTTTTCTATTATTTTCCTATAAATGTATAATCAACGGAGAATTTACAGTGTTTGACAAAAATTATGAAGGTAGTAGAACAATCCTAAGTTTTCCCGTTGATTATTAAGACCACTTTGCATGGTTTCAGTCTGCATGATGATTTTTATGGTCCCATACTGCTGTGCAAAGCAAGGACTGCTCATACATATATAAATTCATGTATATGTATGTATGTATTTATGAATGAATGCATATTTATAAAGACTTTATTTGTAAAGATTGTAAAGCAACGCTTCCCAACCTTGGCCTACATTAAAAAAAAAAAAAAAATTGTACAGCACACTGTGATACACAAAAGAAATTGCTCATGGCTGATGTGCAGTGGCCAGGAAGCTGTTGCCACCCCAAGCCCTGCTCAGCTGCCCCAAGGGCTGAAGAGAGAAATGTCTCAGGCACACGTATAACTCACTAGAGGCCCGTAGGTTGGAAAGCTCCACTGTTGAGAGAATCGTAAACTCCTTCAGGAGGTGGGTCCTCCTAGCGCTTAGTGTGGTGTTTTCTGTACGGTTCTTTCTGACTGGCCATGTTTGACATATACTATAATACATACTTCTCATTGAGATTTCTTTAAAAACGTAAAAACTGTTAATGGGTTTCCCCATAGGCATATTTAGTGAATGTATAAAAATGTTTCATTGTACTTAATATCCCCTTTCTACCTGTATTAAACCATTAAAATGTGTCACAGTTATTAGAAATGTCACTATATAACGAGTGTTGGAGATGCAGAGGTAAAGGAAAACTTGGTGTAGGAAATAAAAGTAGGTGTGGGAACAAGTGGCTTTGTTGTCTTAGAAGGAACACATCTTGTAAAGACGTTTGTGGTTCTTTTTATGTGCGCAATGCAAATGAAATAAAAGGTGGCTAGATAGGAAAATGAAATGTGAGATTGCGTGCATTTTTTCTTGTCCTAGTTATTGACGTGAACTTGCCAGGTAATTTGTTTTTATAACTAAATATTGGGAGTTGAAATATAAAAACAAAAGCAGTATTGTTTTTAGCATTGGTGAAAGTTACACTCTTACCATGTTAATTGGTGTTTTTAACTAGGGTGCAATAACATGGTTTTTGTACTGACTTGGTGATATGACATTCAGCTCTGGATTAGCTTTTATTGCACTCTTCCTGGGTACATTTCAAGGCCTCAGTGTTATATCTCAGCCTGTTTTGTTTGGGAATGTACACGTTACAGTTTAAAATAGAAGTGTTTTCTTGAAAGTTTGCTGTTTTGTCTTTGGAATTCTAGCATCTCATGTTGGTAATAAAGTAAGACTTTTTTAACAGATTTTTTTTTTTTTTTAAGTTATAGGAAAGCCTGTGGAGTACTTCGATTAAAAATAATAAACCAGATTTTTATAATTTACTTTTTTTCTGAAGAACCAGAGACGTACAGAGCACGCACAGACTGTAAATTCGGCTTTATCCGCCTGCTTTGATAATCAGCATGTTTTTCTCTAAGAAATTTCCATAAAAATGCAACTTTAATTGAAATTAGAAACATACCAATATTTTAACAGTTGTTTTTAAATTTTGAACTTAGAGATGAATTTTGAATGTAAACGTGTGTAAACTTTCTACATTTAGCAAGTATCTTAGAGTGAATACGTTTCCTTTCTAATATTTTTGTGTCATTTTTAAATGAGGCTTTACATAATCAACCTCACAGAAGGTATCTTGCTCCTCTTTAGAATGTGAAGATCCTTTCAAGCCATTAAAAATTTTGTGAACACATCTTTAAGGAGATTGAATAACTTGGATTTTGTTTTTTAAATACTGTAGTTCTTTTTAAGTTTGATATTTTATTTTAGGGCATATTGATGCATTTACTTCAAAGCTTTTCCTGCTTGAAGAAATTACCTCAGAAGAATTAAAAGAAAAACTATCAGCTCTCAAGTAAGAACGTTTACTTTGTCTGGGAATAGAAAAACGTATTAATGTGATCGTTATTTTTCCTGTATCTCCAAATATGGTTAAGTTTAAATCATTTATTCTCAAGACTTTCAATCCGTTTATCCACTGAGGCTTCCCCTGACCCAGTGTGTGATCCATGTGAATTGTCTCTATCTCCAGATTAAGTGTAACGCCAGCAGCACAAGAGAGGAGCCCAGCGTCTAGGAAGCACGTGGGAAGCATACATCTTACCCCTTTGCAGGGAAGGGGAGGGATAGGACAGGCACCCTTCCTTTGCTCTCAGGATTGTGTACACTGATTTGAATACCCTAACTTCTAAAAGTTCGTCCTTTTACCAAGCATTATTATGCATCAAACTGAAATTATTGTACTCAGAATTCCAAGTGCCTGAACGGCACGGAAAATAACATCTGAAGGTTATTTTCTCGTGTAAATCTCACAGCTAGCTAGGAGGGCTGGTGGTAGTGTCATCTCCGTGTTATACATGAGGAAACTGGGACTTAGAGGGACTTGTCCCAGAGCACACAGTTGCGCCAGCGTGATGGCTTGCTAGTGAATATATCTGGTTCACCACTTGGGATGGGAAGTCATCCTGACTTACTAGCTGCCTAACTCCAGCCTTGGAGCTTGACACAGTTTTTTAATGTCCCAGATCTATACTTGAACTCTTTGCTTGTACTTAAATATGTCCACTTCCATTATAAGGACTGCTTCTCCTGAGAGGTAACTTATATATGTGAATAGAAAAAGCTTTTGCATACCCTACTCTTCACCTGCCCTCTTCTGTGAAAACCAGTTAAAAAAAAAAAAAGATAAAGGGAGTGATTTTAGAATACTAATGAAGTATTTAGAATAATATATTTCATTTTTGTTGAACTATCCAATCCCATCAGTGGCTTCTATGGCAGCAGACATTTGGAGTGCCCGGCAGTGTCTTTGGAAACTAGTCAACCACCATTTCTAAGAGGCAAACTCTCCTACAGATGAGTTCCGCTAAATGCTTCTGAGCACTTTCAGAAGTGTATGATTTGAACATAAAATAGTGGTCCTTTCACAGTTTCTCTTACACGAAGCCAAGTACTTCACGATTATAAAGAAAAATCAGGGAATGGCAGAACATTAGGTAGATGTTATAATTTAATCCACGTGGAAATAAGTTTGGATGTTCTGAGGTTTACATTATCTCTTCTGCTGCTTCCTTTTGTTATTGAGGGCAGTTCTCTTCCTGGGGAACTGTAATTGTTAAGATTAAGTTTTGTGTGCTTTAATTTTATGAGAATTTCTTTTATTTAATAGGATTTCAAGTTTATTTAACATCCTCCAACACATCCTAAAGAAATTAACTAGGTATGTATTTTTTGGACATGTTGCCTTAATCTGATCTTCTTGGATGAAAATTGATAGAAACTTCAAAAGTATGCCGTTAGGGATTGGGAGGAAAATAACTCAGAAATACAAAATTAACTTTATTGTGTCAAAGTTGAATTTATGGAGATATAAGTAAAAGGATAATATGGTAGTATCTGGCTTCAATGAACTTGCAACTACATTTTCCTATAAGGCTATTGTATTAGTTGCCTATTGCCGCTGTAACAAATTACCACAAACTTGGTAGCTTAAAACAACAGAGATTTCTTCTCTTCCAGTTCTGGAAGTCAGAAGTCTGAGATGAGTTTCGCTGGGCTAAATGTCAGAGTGTCAGCAGGCCTGGTTCTTCCTGAGGGTTTTGCAGGAGAATCATTTCCCTGCCTTTTTCAGCTTCTAGCAGCCGTCTGTGTTCTTTGGCTTGGAGCTCCTTCCTCCAACTTCGGATCACCTCACTCCAGTCTCTGCTTCTGTCGTCACATTGCCGTCTTCCCTTCTGTAGTGGCATCTCCCTCTGCCTCCCTCTTATAGGACACTTGTGATTACATCATGTGACCTACCCAGAGTAATCTCCCCATCTCAGAAATTCTTAGTTTAGTCACATCTGCAAAGCCATATAAGGTAACACATTAACAGGTTCTGGATTAGGGCATGGGCATCATGGAGGAGTCATTATTCAATCTACCATAGCTGTGTTATTTTAATTTTCCGGATAAGGACGCAGCATAGACCTAGTGATCAAAAATCATTACGTTCATGGCAAATCTTAAAATAGGGATTCTCTCCCTGATCATTTATCAAATTCTTTTGTTATATGAACTTTTACATTCCTTCTGTTACACCCTTACCAAAAGGTAAAATAGAAAACAATTCAAAAGCCTCAAAATCTCAAACTTCTAGTCTAACTGTCCCACTTAACTTACTGTGCAACTGAATGTTAGTTTCCTCGTTTGTAAAATGATGGTGTTGAGCGCAGTGATTTCCTGGGCACTTATCGGTTCTCAGAGTCTGTGATTCTATGACAGGATTTTTATTTTATATATTCTGTTCTTCACGTGAAGCACAACGCTTATACATGAAATTTACCAGATGCTTTTGAAATGTTACCATTCTCTTATTTAGTTTGTTTTCCATTGCTGCTGTAGAAAATTACCACAAATTACTTAAGTAAAGCAACAGAAATGTATTACCTGACAGTTGTGGAGTCTGATACAGGTCTCACTAGGCTAAAATCGAAGTGTTGGCAGACTGCATTCCTTTCTGTAGGCTCTGAATAGGCTCTGTTTCCTGGCCTTTTCCAGCCCCTGGGGGCCACCCGCATTCCTTGGCTCCTGGCCCTCTTCCTCCATTTTCAGAGCTGCCAAGGCAGATGGAGTCCCTCCCACATCGCGTCACTCTGACCCCTTCCAGTCGTGTCTCCCTCTGATTCTCTCCTGTCTTCCCCTTCCATGTTTAAGAACCTCTGATTAGATTGGGCCCACTCAGATAATCCAGGATAATCTCTCCATTTTAAGCAACTTTAATTCCACCTGCTGCCTCACTCCCTTTTGCCATGGATGTATTCACAGGCTCTAGGGTTTTTAGGACATAGACTTGTTCGGGAGGCCATTATTCTGCCTACATAATTGTATCTCGCCATGCCCTTTGCATGTGTACAAAACGTAACCCTTCTTGGAGTGTCTCGTTAGTGAATTAAATGTATTCCTCTGTAAACCAAAGCGCTCTTCATTTAACTGAAGGTAGTTAAGATCCATGATTTTCATTGAAAAGTTACTTGTTTCTACTGCCAAATCAGTTACTGTTCATTTTCTTATACTGAAGTATGAAAGTGATTATTTGGGTGGCAAAAATTGCCCAGAGGATAAGGATAATTCTGTGGACTTTTTTTGCCAACATCTACTAGTTTTCTGTTGAAAAAGTTAATGAAAACATAATTTATTAGGCCTGTAGGCAGATCCACATAGCTAAAGTATGATTAATCTTTATTTTTAATGTTATATTGTGGGAAAGAGGTAATGTTCTCCTTGGCCCTTTGATTCAGTAGAGTATGTAATCCCAAAAAAGCACAGCATATTAGTCATATGCATTTAGCTCTCCATTTCTGGTGATTCATTGAATTCCTTAAAGCTTTCCAAAGAAGAGGGAAAAATGTGGAATCTGATGCTCTGCATGACTCAGATTATCATGGCAGTAGAGTGTCATGGTTTAGGGGACAGCCTGTGGCGTTTCACCACCTGGGTTCAAATTGGAGCCCTGTGCTTCAGAACTTTGGGCAGATTGCCTTATATCTCTGATGTCTGTGTCCTCCTCTCTGATAAGGGGTCGGTTGTTGCGGAGCATTTGATGAGAATTGCAGGTGAAGCACTACAACAGTGGACAGTTCACGAGAAACGTCCGATAGTATTAGCTGCTGCCGGTACCGTTACCATCCTCATGGTACCTCGTATTGTTCTGTAATTGTCCGAATGGCTGTTTCTGCCATTTTATCTCCAGGTTTAAATGATTGAAAACCCATCTTACAAATTGACCGATAAAACAGTAAAAAGAAAATAATCATATTTTCTGAACTTGGGAGTAAGAAATTAAAAATCCATTGCCTAAAAGGCATGCAGATAGTTACAAAGATTTCTGACATCAAATTTTTGATCATGAAAGTATCGTTAGAGGTGGTGTTCCATTTCCCATCAGTGTTTACAGTTTTACTAGCAGATCATGTTTGAGAAAGTGCTATTGTGATTGGCGTGGTGAGCCAATGCACTGAGTTTCGTTGTGTGGATTTAGCTTGCAGGAGGGTTCCTACTTGTTGTCTCATGCAGCAGAAGATTCTTCACTCCTGATCTACAAGACCTCTGATGGAAAAGTCACTAGGACGGCGTACAATTTGCATAAGACACACTGTAGCCTGCCTGCGGTACCTTCCAGTCTCTCAGTTCCCTGGGTCCCGTTAGACCCCAGCCTGTTACTACCGTATCACATCCATCACGGGAGAATACCTTGTACTTTCCCACCTAAATCGCTAGGTCCCCCAGCACAACAAAAGGTAAGATCTTTTTTTTTTTTTTTTTTTAATGAATGTTCTGTTAGGATGTTTATTATTAGTCTATCTCACTGATTACGCAGTATTTCAACTTGATGTCCACATTTGGCATACTAATCACAGCAACACTCTAAAAACTGTATCCACAGAGAGGTTAGATAAACTCGTACGCTCTGTCGAGTCTGGTCTGTGTGTCCGTGGAACTTTCTGTTTATGTAAGGTTTGTAAGTCATCTAAAGACAGTTCTGTTGCTTGCCCAGTGGGGGCATGGGTAATGTATCCACAAAGTTCAATCCTCATACTTTCGTTAAAAGCAAAGGTAATGTTTGTAATTTTATTTATGTATACCCTATTTTCATTTTATAAAATATTTGAGGCAGTTTGCAGAAGAAAACATACAATTACAATTGACAAATAGGATATGGAAAAATATAAAAGCAAATTTCAGTAATTAGTGAATGGAGTACTATATTAAAAGTACACCTGAAGTACTAAGGATTAAGTTGTGTTTTGCTAAGTATTATATAACTCCAAATATTTATTGAGTGATAATTAATGCTACTCTCTCTATGGAATCCTTCCTAGAAATAACAGGTGAATGACATTTTTACCTGAAACTTTTGTAAAGCCGTGGTTAAAGATAGTCTCTACCATGTCATTCTTAATATCATATAAAAAATTCTAATTTGAGGTTAGTTATAGGAAAAGCTTTGTTTTCTGCAAATGAATCTGAATATTTAGGAAACAAAAACTCAGTGTATTTTTCTTCTCTGCTGCCAGAAAACCCCGAGTCGGGTTACTCCCTGAGTTCTGTAACGTCCTTAGTGTGGTTGCCTTAGCGCATCTATTGCTTCTGTATCCTGTGGATGTTCTGTTCTTTTTTTCTTTCTGTATTGTACTAAATCATTCTACAAATGTTCTCAAGTCCTTTTGAGAAATAGCTGAGATGCAAATATCGAGGAATTTTTTTACAATGTAAAATGAGGTGGTTTATGTGTTTCTCAGTTCTCCACCCTAATGCTGCTGTTCTGGGGATCCTTTTAGAAATGAGAATTCTTTTCACATTCCTAGTTAAGTTTGGCCAAGAAAAGTATAAATGTGGTTAACTAGTTGGAATGAGTGAGAGAATGATGAGAGTTAGTTGTCAGCATGTTGAACTATTTTATCTACAGTTGTGGCCGACTGTTCCCATTTTAACTTTAATATAAGCAGTCATTTTTATAACCTTCTAAGGTAAAATTTTCTTCACTGTAACTTAAAAATAATAACTGAAGATCTCTTTTTGAAGGATTTATGTTCTTCTAGGAGAATGATTTCTTTTTAATTTAGAAACTCTGATTATAGTCTCTCACCCATAAACATATAATTCTGTCTGTGAATGGCTTGTTCCTTTCTTGGAAAAATGAACAGTTTAATACCTTGACGTGAAAGTAAAAAATGTATTATGTTTGCACAAGGTGTTTTCTAAAAAAAGTAAGTAAGATCCTTATTGTTTCCTTTTAGATACAGATTGACAGCAAAATCATGTTGAGCACTTTATGCTTGGGAAATACTTCAATAATTTCATTTGTTTTTTTTTTAATAACATACCTGTTCCAAAATGTGGTTACAATAAGAAAACAATTGATTCGGGAAAAAAAAAAAAGCTCCACATGTGCAAAGTTTGACCACACGAATATGAAGTTTAGCAATTCAGTTTTAAGCATTTGTTGATTTGTATTTTTCAAGGGACAAATACTTTGTGTTTACAGCCCAGCATTAGGTGCAGTAGACAGTTGGATAACTGCTGTTTCTTAGTTTGATGTATATGTTGAAGCCTACGGGAAGTTTCTGATCATTCCCTACCCACCTACCCCAAATCTAACCCCACCCTACGCTGGGTGAGACCTACCCTGTTGTTGTTGTGTGCCGGCAAGTCGATTCCGACTCACAGCAACCCAGTAAGACAGAGTAGAACTGCCCTGTACGGTTTCCTAGGCTGTAATCTTGACAGGAGCAGATCACTAGGGGTTTTCTTCCACAGAACGACTGATGGGTTCAAACCACCCACCTTTCAGTTAGCAGCTGAGCACTTTAACCATTGCACCACCAGGCCTCCTGGGAATTACCCTACTCTCCTCTTTTACATCCTCCTGTCCAGGCCATGAGAATGGGAATTTTTAGCTCCAGCCAGACTAGGCACAGATAGGGATTCTAGCCTTAGCAACAATGGGGGAAGACCAGAGCTTCAGGAAACCCAGGGAAGCAGGACCCCATATAAAACATAAATCATCTGCTTATTTTCATGGTGTCAAACTGCACATAACAAGTGTTTTTACCTCAAATATAATTCATTAGCCCCTAGTCCACTTGAACTCAGACTCATCTTTATGCAGGGCCTTAGGTACTATCCCTGGGGAATACCACAGTATGACCTGCATCTCCCTCCCAACTGCACTGAACAAAGCTGTATTGGAGGGTCCCATTTGCTTCATGTGCTGCTCCTGACATCTTCCACTTCTCAGCCTTTTGCACCAGCTCCATACCTGTCCCTTTTGCCCTTCCACAGCTTCTGTAATAAGCACTCTTTTCACGTAGGCACATGCACGCATATGATCTCACAATGGAAGTCTTCCAAATGCTTGCTTTCCTCAGCTTTATGTTAGATACACTTGTTGCTCTGTTGCCATTAGCTGCTATCTAGTCAGCTCCCAACTCATGGTGACCCCATGCACAATGGGATCAGACCATTGTGGTCCATAGGGTTTTCATTGGCTGATTTTTGGGAAGTAGATCATCAGGCCTTCCCAGTCTCTCTTAGTCTGGAAGCTCCACTGAAACCTGTTCAGCATCATACCAACACATAAGCCTCCACTGACAGATGATTGGTAGCTGTGCTTGAGGTATATTGGCTGGGAATCGAACCCAGGTCTCTAGCCTGGAAGGCAAGAATTCTACCACTGACCACCACTGCTGCAGTAGATACAGTTAGTGTTGTCATGATACCTTTAGGGGAAATGCCACTGACTTACAATTATCAGGAGAAAGGGGAGTAGCATAGGTAATCTAAAAGGCACAGCAGTTGTCTCATCAGTGTATTGCAGAAGTTCAGCAGATTCAGACAGACTGGCAGACTCAAAACCTAGCTCAAGTTTGCCCTTCCTGGTCATCTCACCGTAAACGAAAAGGTGCCCCTGAAGAGACAGATGCTGTTGAGAAAGGGAAGCTGGAGGCTGATCCATTCAGTGAGCCGCTACCCCTTAGTGCAGTGCCAGCACTGTTTCCACCAGAGGAGTCCCTGGGTGGTGCAAACAGTTAAGTGCTTGACTACTAGCTGAAGCATTGGTGGTTGGCAGTTCGAGCCCACCTGGAGTCGCCTCGAAAGACAGGCCTGGTGACATATTTCAGAAAGGTCACAGCCTTGGAAACAGTATGGAGTTTTCTACTTTACACGCGTGGGGTAGCCGTGAGTCAGAAACGACCGGATGCCAGCTAACAACCGCAGCAGGAGTATGTGTGTGCCTGGAGTTACAGTTTCACTTATCACTCCTAGGCCTGAAGTTCAGCGGACATGATGTAGAGAAGCAGAAAGGGTGCAAGGTGGCTTAAAGAAATAGAGGCGGATACAGGCAGCAGGGTCAGGGGAAATGGTTTCAGGCTCTGCCACTTCGCTGCTTCTCTCCAAGGCTGACCTTCGCCGTTATCCTTTTTAAAAGCTTTGTGCTCTCAGTGACCAAAGAGGTGACAGCGTTTCCACATCTCATCTTCAGAGGATGAGGATTAACAAAGGACTGTGTCCTAGGAATGGAGCTCCTCTGTCCCGGAGACCGAGAGCTAGTACTCTGAGGAAGAGCAGGCGTGAGGGAGAACCAGCACCAGAGCTTCTTCCCCACACCACGCTGCCCCTGCTGCTCCCCCGTTTCCTAGCCTCTGTTTCTCTCACAGCTTTCCCCTCCTTTTCTGTCTCTGTCTCTCTTCTCTTTCATCCCCTCAGTTTTCTTCTTTTCTGCTCAGGTTCCCCTCGTTTTCCATGTTGCTTTTCTGTCGGATCTCCCCTCCTTCCCTTGCAGACTCCTCTGTTTTCCCTGATTTCTGTCCCTTCTCTGTTTCTTTCCCTTCTTCTCTATCTTGTGCCTTGGTCCTTTCTTGTCCGTGTTGTTTCTTTACGACCTCGGACCTCCTCCTTTTGTGTCCTTTCTCTCCTTTCGTACTTCTCATTTCTTCCTTTCGCTGGCCCTTCATCTTCATGAGTGCAGACGAACACACCGCTCCAAAGGCCTGCCGTTCCCTCGTTTTCTTAGTTAACATTTCAGCCCTCTCCATATTTAACATGGAGAGCATTCTCCCTGTTCTGATCGTTACTTCCACGTTTAGTGCTTGGACTAAAGCACTAAAAAAAAATAAAATAAATAAGATGAAAACTTGTTCAGAAACTGCCAGGTGGCTGGGGATGAAGAATACATAAAGGATCATTTACAAGGCGGTTAGTACATGTGTAAATTATCCGGATTTGCCTGTCCCTAGGTGTGCTGTAAATATGGTAAGCTGTTCTGTTCATCTCTCTCAGGTTGGTGGAACAAGAATGCCTACTCGTAGCCGCAGGAATCCAGTTTCCATGGAAACCGAAAGCAGTTGCTTGCCTGCTCAGCAAATCGAAAATGAAGGAGCAGCTCCAAATAAAAGAAAAATGACTTAAGGGCTGTACTGTTGCAAGTGAAGTTCCAGAAAAAACAGTTACAACAATGTTAAATTCAGAAAAATTTGAGGGGACATATGCCTAAAAGATCAGTAGGCAAGAGGAAAATGTGTATTTTAGTGACCTCGCTAGTTCCCGGAGTGCCTTGGAAAACTGTGTTGGCCATTTGGACTAAAATGGAATGTTACGCTGTTAACTCTTACGTCTGAAGAGGATCTAAGTGGGTTTTAACATTATCGTGGCAGGGAAGTAAATGAGAAGACGAATATTTTTATAGTAGACCTTTTCTAAATATTGTAAATAGGAAACAAATTTTTTTCAGGAACAGCATTTACCATTATATATTATGTAAATAATTTAAGTTATATCTCTATTCTGTTGAGGTTGGCTTCGAAGGTGAAATCTTGCCACTGTCAGATAATTTTGAGCAGTATGACCCTGTTTCTGACCCATTGTCACTGTTTTTATATACGACTTTAAATGAGGAAAAAAACCAGTTATAACAATGTTAAATTCAGAAAAGTTTGAGGGGAAATATTACAGGTTAATAAAGCTGATAACTTAAAAAACTTGGTGAAATTCTATTGCAGGAGCCAAAAATAAAAAAAACCCTGCCTCTGAAAAGTCACAAGTTATATTTTCTCAGTGTGCGACCATCAGTTTGTTTTTTAAAAAAAACAACATTTTGTGGTCTAACAGGTTTGGCCAGGAGCACCTCTGCCTCCTGGCACAGACCCCAGCTGAGTGTTGACATACACCAGTGAAAGCAAAGACACGAGTATGTTTTCCAGAAAAATCCTGTTATGCTGACTGAAAGGGTTAAGGTGTGATAAAAGAAGCTATTTTTTTTCATCTATATTGATTAAATTTTACAGGCCCATATTTTAAATAGATGACTGTGAAAAGGGACATGATCAGCTGATGTTACTGTAACCAATTTGGACTTAAGAACAAAATTTTTAATTTTTTTATCCCTGTTATTTAATATACACTAAAAATTTTAGAAATCGTGTGTCATCTGTAAAATACAAGCTTTCTAATCCAAGGCAATATTTGCTTTGTTTTTGGAATTTTTTTTAATGTGTTTTATATTAATATAAGTAATGAAGCCTTTAAAAAATCGTCAACTATTATAAATAACAGTTGAGAATTTTTATCTTCGACTACCAAGTTTTGTGCTGTTTTTATTTTTCAGTCAGTTATAAAAATTTTTGAATTATTTAATGAGTAATAGTAAAATTATTTTGTGTATTTTAATGTAGTGTGTCCTCATTCTGCCATTCCTTTTTTAAGTGATTGTTTCTTTTGTTTTTAATGGATTCGATCTTTTTTTAAAAAACTTTATTTCAGTCCTATAGCCACGTATCCCAGAAATATTTCAGTCCTGAATCATTTGGCATTGAGCCAAGGGAGAGGCCGGGATCCCCTTGGAATTTCCTCTTTTTACAAAGCTGAACAATGATTGCTTCAGACTTCTGAATACCAGAAAGAATTGGCTTTCATTTTTTTAATATTGTTTTTTACATAGTAAGACGTGTGATCTTGCAAGTGATTATTTTCAAATTATCTTAGCCATATATTTGGGTAACCGATAATATATATAAAGTTAGTCTTACTTTTCTACTTAAGCATTTTTAATATATATTTGATCATGCCTTGTATTATTTTTCTTGCTCTTTAGTACTGAGAATACATAAGCAAGCAACATTCACAATATGAGCAAAGATGTTTAAAAAACAAAACAAAATGGTTAGAGCCCGTGTTGGCAAGGATGTGATGAACCTGGCCCACTTACTTCAGTGATGAAGATAAAATTTACACACACCTCCTGGGAAACAATTTAATTCTGTAAACATTTGCGTGCAGCTGTATGCCATGCAATCTAAAGTAGGTCCCCCCTGTTACTCGCTCATAAAATTCCTTTTCAGATATGATGACATTTATTTGACTTAATTGTCTGTCTTCTTGAATAGACTACCAGCTCTACAAGGGCCAGAGCACATCAGCTTGGCTCACCATTATATAGCCAACACCTGACCCAGTACCTGTCATGTCATTGCTTAGTGTAGGTTAGATGCATGAATAAATCAATATGTTGATGTCAAGGATTTTTTTTTAGGAGCTCATATTCTAGTAGAGGACATAAGCTTGAAAATAAACAATACCAGTCTATGCAATAAGCTCTGATAAAGTAATACAACAAACACATCTATCTAACTGACACCTGATAGTTAAAGAAGGTTTCCTGAGATAAAGCTTGAGCTGAGTCTTTTAAAAATGAGCAGGAGTTTAGGGGAAGAATGAAGGAATGTCCCACGACGAAAAAGCAGGGTGTGCAAAGACTGAGAAATGGCCAGATTGGAAGATAGGAATTTGAGAGAGGAGAGAGAGAGAGGTCAGGGACAGACATGTTATGCTAAGGCATTTGCATTTTGTCCTGAGCAATGTGAAACCAGTAATGGGTCTTAATAATAAGATTTTTTATATATATATATATAATATATAATATATATATATATATATATATGATATGCCATAGGTATCTGATGCTTTTTAATCAAATCTTAGAATATTTGTTATCAAGATTTATTGATTTCTCATTGAGATCTAGAAATACAGGGAAGTATTTCACTGATCCTTCCACACTGTTGCCGTGTTCCCGGCCTATGTGAAGTCATCTCATCAAGATACATAAGAGCTCACACACATGTCTGCGTGGGGTTTGGTTCTCACCTGCCCAGGCCTCTGTTTCTAGGCCGGATATCTAGACTGCTCCATCACACAGGAAGATTCAAACAGTCAAGGGTTCACCCTTGGTAGTATTACTGTTTGCTTTAAATACATGAACTCTATTAAAAAGTGATCAAGCAAGAGGTTCAAAACAGTTTTTTTTTATTTTTATTTATTTACTTTTGCTGTAGGTCTGTGGTACAACTGGTTTAATTCTGTAAGGAATGCAAAAAAACAAAAAGCCTGAGTATAGATTGTTTTGAAAGTGGAAGAACCCTAGAGATTCTATGATAGTAGGTTGAATCCACTCCCTTTCTTGAGACTATGTATTTCTTGAGGGAAAAACAGCGATCTTTTCTGTCTTCCCTATCCTAGGTTTTGCTTACCCTAAAATACACAACACAGGAGCGTATGTGTGCATTAATGTTAAGAGTCACACCCAGTAGGCCAACCACCCTGATACTGTAGGCTTCCGTTCCCTCCCGAGCACCCCATTAATGGAACAGCTGCTCCAGCCAGGCTCTCTGTCTCACACATTAGCCACTTGTGCCCCTGCCTGCGTGGTTTTGCTCATGAAGCTATATCTGCTTGGGTTTCTTACCACCTGTCAAAACCTTACCTGTCCCAGACACCCTTTTAGCTCAGTGGTGAAGTCATTTCCGAGGTTCACCGTTCAGCCGGGGAGTGGACAGCCCCGTAAAACCAAATGGGACTAATGAGGCACAGCAGTCCAGGGACAAGGGCCAGAAGGCAGAAGGGGACAGGGAAGCTGGTGATAGGGAACCCAAGGTTGAGTAAGGATAGTGTTGATGTGTTGTGAGGTTGTTAACCATTGTCATAGGGCAACGTGTACTAACTGTTAAATGAGAAACTACTTTGTTCTGTAAGCCTTCATCTAACGTGAGAATAGCAGCACAATTGGAAGATTGTAGTCAATGTCACTGAACTGTGCATGTTGAAATTTTTGAAATGGTGTATCTTTGGCTATGTGTATTTTCACACACACACAAAAAAAAGGTCGAGAAGAGAGAGGGTTGACGTGGGGTTGTTAACCAATGTCATAAAACAATATGTGTACTACTGTTTTATGAGAAACTATTTGTTCTGTAAGCCTTCACCTGAAGTGCAATTAAAAAAAAAAAAGTCTCAAAAAAAAAAACAAAAAACAAACCTTACCTGTCCTCTATTGAATTGATAATGCATCTTTGAGCATTCATTTGGTGTAAGACGTTATACAGATCTCATGGGATGTAAAGATAGAGCAGATTGGTTTCTGCCTTCAGGGTCTTTCCTGATCTGGTTGGGGATAGAGACGTGCACAGTCAGTTATAATACAGGGCAGGATGTTCAAGTTGAACAATAGTGCAGAGGAGGGGAAACAGATGCCTGGGAGTAAGAGGAAGGTCTGGTAAAAGTACCACGTAAGCTGCGCTGGAAAGACAAGTAGAATATTAATATGGACAAAAAAGGGAGCAGGGCGTTACAGCATGAGAGACAATCGTATGAAAGGTGCTGGTTGCAGGAAATGATAAGTATGCTCATGACAAGCATGGGGGTAAAAGGTGACACGGGAGAAGCTGAAGGGTAAGTCAGTGCTCTGTGGCGGGAGATCTTCAAAGTTATCCTCAAATAGTTTAATTTTATTCTGAAAGCAACGAGGAGACGTTGAAGGCTTTTTGAGCAAGATGACGTGATCAGTTTTAGGAAAGTTACAATGTAAAGAATTATTTAGAGAGGAAGAAGACTGAAAACAAGGAGAGGTAGATCAGAACACCATTTAAGACAAAGCGCTGATCAGATTTCACCCTCCCCCAAAATGAACGTTTCCTCATATAACGCTGACTCACAGCTGTGTCATAGTCACCGTGCTAGGTGTTGGGAATACAAAGATGAATTAAAAGTCCTTATCCTCAAGTGTTTACAGTTTCATGGAAAGAGACAGCTAAACAAGTACAGAAAAAATAATAATACGGGTATTCTAATTAGATTATGTAAAAGAAGTAGCAGTTGCTTCTACCCCCAGGCATCCAAAAAAAATTATTTTAATACATGAGGTGATGCTTCAGTTGAAAACCTCATCTTCTTAAGGTTTTACCTCTGTATCTAGAACCAAGCCTGGCAAATAGTAAACATTAAATAAATGTGTATTAAATTATTGAACAAATGTGTGCGTGTTCTCCAAGCTGATAGGGCTGGGGGTAGGAGTCGGATGAGGAGCAGAGTAACAAAGACGGGACACAGGAAATGGTGTGCGTGTGGGATTATGAAGTGAGAGGATTCAGAGACGGCTGAGGTTTTTAGCCTGAGTGCTGCCACTGGCTAAATGAAAATATTAGAGGAAGAGTAAGAATGGGGTGAAAAGACGAGTGTTTTCAACCAAATATCAGCAGAACAAGGGGATGTTCTGTAGAGTGGAATTGTGGGCCTACAGCTTAGGGGGAAGAACGAGACGTGTCGGGGCCCACCTCTAGGCTGCTACTCCAGGCAAGGTGGGCCTGGCATGTCTGGAACCAAGCTCTTCCTTCCTCCTCTTCCCCTTCGTTTGGGCCAGGAGGCTGAGAGTTTGGTTATATACTGGATAACTGAGCAAATAAATAAATACATTGAGAATAATGGGAAAGGGGATTTCAATAATAAATCCTGTAGTATTGGATTGGTATTGGAGGTATCAGTGTGAACGCGTGGCACTTAATATGTATGTAGTGAGAGATGGAGAAACAGATATAGCAATGTATGTGTACATGTGCATATGTATTTCCTAACTGCTGAGAGTAGGGTCTAGAAGCAATAATACTCCAGTAACAATGAGCATACCTAGCTCCCAGGTCTGGGTTTCTAACTCCTGTTGTTCACCAAAAGAATCCAGGGCTTCTTGGAGAAGCTAATTCCAAGATGGGCAGGAAAAATACGAGATGAGCTTGGGACATCATGTTACGCCAGAAAGTAAGGAGGTGCGCAAAGAACGATGGGCACATCAAAGGAACACAGGAGCTAGTTTAAAGGAGTTCCCAGACCTGGGAAAATTTTAGCATCAGATAATGACAGTAAAGGATTATAATCCTTTGAGTAAAATAGACATCGAGTTCATACTGATACAAATGAATAAATAAATGAGGAGGAAGAAGAGAACACTACAGTAGAATGCCAACCAATAAATCTAGAAGGAATGATGGAATTAGAAAAACCACCAATTGGCAACCATGACAGTAAGAATTGTTTTACCTGGGAATCATCAATCAGTGCTGAATGTGGTGGGTGAAAATTTGATGAGAAACAGGACTATTTTCATAGTCTCAATCCCCCCACAAAATAGTTAATTTTTTATTACTTAATAAGTACAACATATTTAGTAAATTACTAGTGCTGGAGAAACATGGCAGAAGCTATCTTAACCAAGTGGTGAAAGTATCACCAGTACGAGACAAATCAACTCTGTGCTTCTTGATATGCACCAAGAAGACGACAACACCACTTCTGTGGTATATTCCTGCCAAATGTGTCTAAATCATGACAATATCAGAGAAACCTAAACTGAGGGATAGTCTATAAAGTAGAAATCAGTTGCTGTGGAGTCAGTTCCTACTGGTCACTAATCTTCAAAAATGTCAAGGTCACGGAAGACAGAAACACTGTGGGACCGTTTCAGATGAAAGAAGACAATGTGACTCATGATCCTGGTCCATAAATGACATTATTGGAACAATTGTCAACACTTGAATGGGGTTTGTATATTAGATGGTAGTAATGTATCCTTGTTAACTTCCTGATTTTTGAAATGGCTATATCAGAGCAAGTCCTATAATTACATAAATAATACCTGCAACTTATTCTCAAATTGGAGAAGTTGGACAGAGAAATGCTAACAGTTGGGGAGTCTGGATGTAAGGTGTATAGGAGTTATGTGTGCTATTTCTGCAATTTTGATATAAATTTAAGATTATTTCAAAATAAAAAGGTTTTAAAGAGTGTTATCCACAGTGCCAGATACTCTTGAGAGCTCAAGGAAGATGAAGACTGAGAAAAAGGCTGTTGGTTGGAGTCGACAGTCAACAGCAGATTCAGCGGCGGTGAGGAACAGTCAACAGAGCTTAGGGTGGGCTGAGCAGTGAATGAGAGAAGAGGGAGGGGGCCGCTTGGAGATGCAATTTTGAGAAGTTTATTGAGGAAGGAAGGTAGGACAACCGGAAGGACAACCAAGGAGGAAGAGTTTTGTTTTGGTTTTTAGAATGATGTGGACATTCTTTTGTTTACAGATTAAGGGGATTATACCTGTAAACTGAAGCAATACAAAGATGCAAATTAATAGATAAGAATTGGTGGAGAATTGGAGGAGGGGTTTTGGTTGGGGACCCTTGGATGGAGGTGGAGAATAAGATGAAGATACTAGGTGTAAAGATTCAACTTGGAAAGAGTCTCCAGTCCCCTTCTGTCTGCTCTCCTCCCTCAGAAAAACCTCGATGCTGTCCGCTGTGGCATAACGGGAAACCTGTTGCTGTGGAGTCAATTCGTACTCAGAGTGAGACTGATCGCAGCCCCAGGGGTGGGGCCCTGAAAGGTCTAATCTCCTTTTCTCCTGTGATTTGTATAGTAACTCAGATCTCAACACGGCAAACCTCTTGGACCCAGGAAATAGTTTAAGGATAATGTCAGTTCAAAT